GGTCAGTGTCTACGTAGGAATGCATAAGTAATATAGGAAAGATAAAGAACCTAGATAACTACTCTAGGTGTTAAACTATTAATATTATCAGAAAGATAACATTCGCATTGAATGCTTACTATTGAATTGCATTGTGTCTTTATTGATTGGTAAATACATGTTTTCGTGAGATAAATATGTAATAACACGTAATGTAGAAACATATGTTGTTATCATTAGCTCATAACAAGATTGGTGGCTCCTGCATCGAAGGGTGTGTTCAGTCTGACCTCTGTAACCCTCTGCGCTTCGCCAAGGCCGGCTGGGCGGTTAAACTCGCTCTCTAGTGGGCAAGATCAGACACACTCATTCATGCCGAATTGTATAATCCACTAGCATAATAATACTTGGCTCCGTCTAGCCTTGTCATTCAACCATTTATTACTAGTATTAATTAAAGTAATTTTCTGAGAGGGATTACAGTTGGCTAGATCGAATCAAACGTTTGAAGGTTGAAGTTTATCGTAATAACTACGATGATACAATTATATTACGAAACTATCAATATTTTTTCAATATAAGTTTTAATGACCGTCTACAGGCTGTTGGTTGCAGTCCAATTTTAAAAAAGTTCATCAGTATTGAATCAGAATTTTAATAATTTATTAGCTAGGTCAAGTTAAGGACTATCGATCGCCCTACATACAGTGCTATCGACCGCCGTAATACCTGCTAACTCTACCTAAGCACTGTACCGCAATAAATATTGATTTTCTAGAAACGTTCCACGATGCGGTTTATGTACTACCTACAAAACTTCACAAACGAACAAATATATAAAATTGTAGTTTCACTGAAGAAAAGCTGAATGAAATTATGCGTAGATGTAAAGTGGATATAGCCTATTTTAAGGTCACGCAATATGTCTGAATTCTAATGGGGTTCAACAATTTTTTTTATAGCTGTGTTGAAACTTTTCACCAGCTCTCAATGGAAATTTATGTTAAAATAATCGGAAGTATATCTAGATTTGTTGTTGATAAGATAAAACACTCCTGCTTGGATGGTACGCGTGATGTATTTGTGCATAACGATTATAACATTAATAATTGTTATCTTTTATCGTATCACCCAGGAAAGGTACAAGTTTTCACAATGTCTTCTTTACAATATGTGTGTAACATAAATCTGTATTACAAGTATGCGCTAAATACATCGATTGTTTTTGTAAATCTCGTATTGCAATACTTCATGTTGCAAATATGCTCCGCTCACCATAGCTGCACTCGGTATGGAAAGATTCTCGAGACGTGGAACGTTCGAGAAAACCAGGGACTTGCCAGTTCAGTTCGGAATATTCCACTGTCATTTTTGACTGTGTGATGTGTGTGTCCCTTGTGAATAATGAATGCTATAGGTTAACACAACTGCGTCTATGTGCACCCGTCTCTTGAATTACGATGCCTTCGTATGACGTGACACTAAAAGATTGACATGACAAAACAAAAATATGAAACTCGTTCGATGTCAAAATTATCCTAATTTATTTTCAGGACAGTATTTTGTATTACTTGTGTTATGTTTAAATGGGAATACCTAGTTTAATTAAAACCGCGTCGGTAAACCACAGCTAACAATGTGATGCAATATGTCGATAGAAACATCGGTGTGGTCACGTCCACATTAAGCTTTGGTGGGTTTGGTTATTCACGTGTGTGACGTATTACTGCGTGACGTAGCAGCTCGTGATGTTAGTGTGTGTTTGGGACTCCGGGGGCGGGGCAGAGCTTTCGGGAACACCGGCTGTGTGCGCCGCCGCCAGACAGTTTAGCGAGCGCACGTGACACAGAGCACGCGCATACACACGTCAACAATTATACATTACACATTATTATTATAACCCAGACAAAAATATGTTAGAAAACCTCAACCGCAAAAGCCTCGCTGAAATACGCACATAACGCCCACGTTGAACATAAACATGAAGTAATATCTTGTATCAGTTTCATTATCATTACATTATTAGGCAGATACTCCTTTTAAATGGAATTTATGATAGGTATAATTCGGTCCATACTGCTTTAATGGGTTTTTCAGATATGTATCTAATCAGAAAGCATATTTTGCGTCGTGAATTCAATATTTATAATTAAAATACTGAAGACACACCTTCTCCACTTCATTAAGATGATATCTAATAAAAGATTTGTTATTGTATAAAACGTGATGAAACTGTTTAAAATAGGTGTAAGTTGTTTTGTTAATTCTTTACATTCACTTGCTCTATTTGAAAAATGCATTTGGCTCTAACAAACTACTTTTCGAACGAATATGCTTCTGAGGACATTCAAATTACCATATTACCGAGAACTAGCCTGATAAGGAAAATAATATTGCTTCCCGAAATACAATAGGTACTCCAGAATAAAACTTACAGAGGACAAAATAAGAGAGAAGAAAAATGGTGGACATTTCAGTCCTTTTAGAAAATAAATCTGCATTTGGTAGCATGGTTGATTAGGTTACGAAATGCGGATTATTGTTCAGTTATTACTGAGTAAGGTCATTCAGGACATCTGACCTCACATTACGAGACTTGAGAACAAAATAAGCAAGTGTCCCAACGAAGACTAACTATGTATTTAAAGATTAAGGAAAAATGATGCAATTTTTGGTATTTTTTGTAATCGGGTGTTGTTATCATTTGATTAAATTATAAAATATAATTTAAATAATCTATCGTAACTGAAATCGATGTTTGTATGTAAATCGATGATGAAAATCAAATTATTGGAAAATTGCCTTCCTTATTTGTTACAGGTTACAGTTATATTAAAAGAGAAAGTAAAAGAATACACAGTTAAAAGTGATTTACGTAAAAAGTATTCAATACTTATTATTACTTAATAGCTTAATTGCATCATACCTATATAATTTTGTATCCTTAGAAATAAAACTGAAACATCTGTCACGTCTTCCTTATTTTGTTCGATTAAATGAATCAGACAATATAGAAACCAGACCACACTGAGTACTTTTCTTAAAATAATGTAGACAACCTATTCATGTTATTTTCGGGAAGGATGAATCATAGTGGACACACCTATTTTATATTTCCTTAATACATGTCTGAGTTAAAATCATAAGAAGGTGTGGCAGTCTGATAAATGTAATCTGTAGAAAAATATCAAGTCACTCTCGTAATTCATAATACATTCGTCACTGACGCCAACTATTTTATCTACGTTTGTTGGTCCATTCGGTTTAATGAAGCAAGTCATAATGCGTCGGACAAAACAGCTGTAGGTACAATGACGTGTGAGACCCACCTACAATTGTTCGCCATAATACAATACACACCGCAAAACCACACGCCAAACTGGCGACCATCTCCAGTTCCACTCATAATGTTATTAATAGTCATTATTATAAGACGATCGGTGTCTGATATTTGCTGATTTGTCCTAAATTATGTTTTAACTTATTGAAAACAAGCAAACTAGTTTCCTATTACATAATTTAAGCTAAGCTAATAAATTTATAAACTGCTGTTGGATGTTTCCATATGAAATACGGCAGATAACTTGCCCTGAAATGGAATGTTGACAGGTAAAATGGTTGGAATAGACCACGGATTATGATAAAAGAACATATTTTTGAGTGTCGAAGGCAAACGCTCTGTGTGTCACGTAGAGTCGAGCCTCACAGGACACACCCCCAGACGCGTAGCGGACTAAGTAAAGACAGGCAAGGTCGCCGGTTACGGGACTCGGCGCGGCCCGCGGCCGGTGCAGTGTGCACCAACCACACTCACACTAAAATGTTACCAATGTGGTTTTAGAAACCTAATCACTCATAGATGCCATAACAGACTTTGTACTATATAGATGCAATTACAAAATCTGCAAGCTCTCTTCCCATTGAAATAACTTTTCACGAGAAAGGCTTTAAAATTCTAATTAAATATTATGCAATTCGTATAATTAATAACTACTTATGCTTTGAGATAAATGCTAGCATTTCCTAACTAGGAATCTTATTAGACAACAAACATCCTTTCTAACATTGAAATGCTCTTCGTAACGAGGTTTTAGTAAAATTTTATTGGTAGAGCATTACGTAACTATAAGAAGCGGTTAATTACACAAGTGAATACTTACGTACAATGAACACGGATAACGCTTTATAACCTTGCCAGTTTGAGGATTAAAATATACATATCATAAAACTTCCTTGTACTTACTAAAAAGAGGCTTGAATCAAAGCTATTTTAGCTAGCAGGGTATTCCTCGATAGCCGAGCATATGATACGACATCTTCACTTGCCATGGTTACACCATTGTTATTAGTTTAATTCGTAGTTATTGTGTACCTGCGTAACCTGGCTATTCAAATTCTAACAAACTAAACAAATATTCAAAGTAATTCAGTTTCAAACAGTCGATGTGGTACTAGTGTGAGTGAGTAGCGTGGTGTGCACACTTTATCAACTTTCACGCACACAAGCGCGGCGGCGCGCCGTGGTGGGAGGGGGGCAGGGGGGGGGGCAGACGGCGGCCCGACTGCCACCTTCCTATATAAAACATTGCGCTGCCATCTGCAAGTTTCAATAGATAACTCGGTTGCTGAAGAATTCAGTACGCGTTGCCAACATCTTATGTTGTCAATTATTGCGAAAATTGAATGTTGTGTTTTGACAAATAGAAGCGCGGGAATTATAATTTATTGAATGAACTTAGTGAACTACAAACAAAATAAATTTAAATAACACGTCGGCGGTAAAATTGTGTCAATTCGCAGCTGCGTGCCATAGCGTTCGTGTGTTACCGTAGGCCTGGCAGAAGGCGGCATCCTCTAGTTATTACAGAGTGATGTGGATAACTTCCCGGCAACAACCCGAACCTGGATTATAAACAACTATTGCAATACACTGTATTACAAAGTGCTACTTTTCATAAACATTATCATTTTGACGTTCCTTGACAAGTTTTCAAGCTAACACAGCTGAAGAAGCCTGCAAGATGAGCTTCAATAAAAATAACCCCAATGCCGTGGGGAAAATCATGGACTACCTCAAGCAGCTCTCCACCGAAATGGTAAGTTTGTTCAAATATTTTTGCAATGTTGTGAGTAGAAATAAGTGACTGAAATTTTATTTTATTCAAATTGTAAAAGTGCTTGGTGTATATTCAACATGAAGGTACCTAGTGCCTTCTATTGTACAGTTGTTTTTATTTGGACATTATGTGCACCTACTAAATGAATATTTAGGAATTCATCCAAAAACATGTGGCTTATTTATTATATCCACTGAATTTAATCGAAGGGAATGCGAATTGAATTTTAGAATGCTTTCTAAGTAAGCCCGCCACAACTTACTGCGTAAGTGTAAAGTGCAAAGCACTGGAAAAGATTCACGATGCTTCTAAACCGGCGGGAACCGACAGACGGTCGATGCCGGCGCACGTTGCCCGGCAACCAGGGGTTAACATCACTTCGAATGCAATTACAAAGAAATAATCTGTAATTTAACACATTAGTATACACCAAACATAAAAATGCACGTGAATTTCAATTTCATAGTTCAAAAATGCACGCAGGTTCGCCGGCGGCATTCACGGTCGTATTGAATCAAGGCGGCCTTGCAAGGCCAGGCGCAATTGCAGATTGCGCCGAAGTAATTTAACTTAATAACTGCTGTTTTTAATTACATTGTCATCACGGACATTAATATTTTTCAGTTTAATAATATTATGCGAAAACTATTTAGGATTTAAAAAAATTAAAGTGGGTATTTTTTATTATATACTATCAAGTAATAATAATTATTCGATTTTTACTTAACTTTTAAATAACAAAAAAGTAACAATGAAAATAAGAGAAATATAATAAAAATATTTTACTTCAGCCATCTATTTTCATACTTTTAAAACTTGCAATAAGACACTAGCGCCATCACTTGGTACAACCCTAAGTGAATTTACTTCTTCGTCATGGCCGTAGTTAAAACTTTTCTCAGATTGTAATAGATGGCGCTTTGCAAAAAAATGAACTTTGTTTAGATTGCCCCTTATCATAATCTGGCCACGTGCAACAAAATTATAAACCGCATAACCGAGTTTAACTTTAATTATAATGTTAATACTAACAAAATATGCTTAATAGTAATAACTAAAGAAAGAAGAAATTTTTTAAATAATACTATGTACCTATAAATATTTTGATTGGAAAGTTATGTGAAAATAAACAGTTGTCGAACGGAAAAGTTCTAACCGTCCTTGAACTTTCTTCAATGAACAATGTTGACAACAAACTTGTTTGTTTGTTTGTTTTATTTTAAACGTAAACGGACGTTGATATTATTTATTAAGGTTACATTTCGTATTTCAAATGCCGGTTAACCTAATTCCTGAATACACATTGGGTTACTTGGTTATTATAATTAATTATGGATTAATAGTATTGATTGACCTCCCAAGCCAGCTACATTGATTAGATCTCAATCAAAACACGTGAGCTGTGTCTCAATGAACCGTGACTTTAGAGTCAATCACGTCAATCTCGCGTTATAACTAAACCTATTGATTAGGGGCTATTAATGATTTCTTAAGATATATAAATAAATCATTTTTATAGTCAATCTCAAGTCTTCTATAAAATACCTCAACCTTGAAAAGTTTAACAAATCAAAGAGGAAGGGCAAGGGGAAGAAAGATTAAACAAATTGCGAAGTTTTTGTTTTCTCATGAAACTTTTTGCACACCTTTTTGCACACCTAGAACATAAACAAACTTCTATAAAATAAAGAAAATTTGACTTATCGTAATAATGTCATATCACTTCTAAAAAAACGAGTCTCGTCGTATATATGATGACCAAATTAATTAAAAAAAAAGGTTTTATTAATAGTAGAATGGATCGCAATAAAGTCACGAATTATCCCCGGATAAAATGTTACGCTACATTTAGTAATAACTCAGAGGTAATCAGAATATAAAAAGTAAGTAGGTACTTAATAGAACCCAGGTTTAGATGGAACTAATTTAGCAAATCATAATTATGTCCGGTCATGTCTTCAGCAGAATGTAAACATGATACTGCCGTCAATGAACCAATGGTTACAGGTACGACATGCAAAGAAAGTGTTTATACATTGTTTTATAAACATCATTATAACTAATGGACAATCGAACGATAACGTCAAGAATATTGTACGTGAACAGTAGTGGTGGATGTGCTCGATATAGACAGGCCGTTCTGACTGCCTCTTTTGTCAATTTATTCGCGAATTTTCTGTAAAACGGACACATAATGATAAAGACGTGGAGGTCCTGTGTGAAGTGGTGTTTGGAACAGGATTCCGAGTATGGCTCGGGTCATGGCACCAACTACGCGTATCACTAGGTTATCGGGAACATGCAATGGTCATATGATAGTTTGTGGTCAATAAGCAATGTGTGTATTCTCGATCTGACCTCCGACTGGGCTTACAATCCTTATCATCGGGACTTGACTTACGCACATTAGATAGTGGATATATAATAAATGGGGTATGTTTGCGGATGATTACTCCAGTTATGTCTAGGGAATTTGAGTGACCAGTCCAATTGTCAATAACAATCGGTGTGTTATAAATTCTAAACTATCAGCACGAAGTGTATTTGATTGAATTAGTGGTATAATAAAATAATCTTAACAATTGCAGGGTGGGAGCGAGCAAGCTCGCCGCGGACAAGGCGACGAGGAAAGGCTATATAGGACACGCGGTCCCAAGTACTCCCGAGTGCCTTCAAAGCCAACACTTTCTGCGTCAACCACTTCAACATCTTTGGCGGCATCTCTCGGATCGCAGGGAACTTTGGTGCCTAATTACGCTACCATCCCAGAGAACGCTTCTACTGAAAGCAGCAGTGAGGACGAACAGGACTCATTCGAGAACACAAGACGTCATTTCCAGCAACTTCGCCAAATCAGTCTAGGAAACGAGTTTAAGTACAAGATGGAGATGGAAATTCAAGGCGCCAAGGAGGAGAATTTGCGGAACTCGATTCCATTTGTAAAACAATTGAGTACAGACAATAACGCGAAACAACAACCAAATGACTACACCATCAATGGAGACAATCCGCCATATGCTCCGACGACACAACGTCTTTACCTGTGGACACAAGTAAGTCATCGAAGAGTTTTTACTATTGTTCCAACATTTTCATTTTTAAAACATGAATGCATTCATAGGAACGTAAGCGTTTCGATTACGCTGTAAGTGAATAAATGGAAAATTCTATACATAAACACCTTTCATAAAAGTACTAAAATCTACGATTTCGATAAGACTCGCATTCAATGGAAAAAATAACAGTAACATACAGTCTTAAATCGTTTCCTTGTGAGTCGGTCATTTTTTCATTTCTCAGCTAAGCAAAGATCACACATTCACTTTAAAGTTTCACGACAAAATAAAGAAATGTTCTTCAATACAAAGATAAACGTCTTTCTTGATAGTATAACTAGATATGGAAAAACTGTAAGTTTATTTTTATTCTTTCTATCAACATGCGATCGTAATTTTCCTGAAATAAAACTGTGGACATTCCCGGTTATGTGCATTATGTACACAGTTCTGGTAAACTTAACCTACGTAAACAGAAAGTAAATAACTTTATAACATTGGGTGCAGGGGTGGCAAGGGGTACATAATAAAAGCGACCCGCTCGTAGAACTTCATAGCTTTCTGGACAAAGTCCGCAATACTACGTGTTGCAAAAATCTCTCCGTCATACAAACTAGGAAATAAAATGTCGTGTCATGGATCATCACAGGTGCCAGTTATGACACAGGTTATACGTTTTAAATGGCATAATTTTAATATTTTGTTTTGATTTGTTTCAGCTCTTGGCTGCATTTGCAGTGTCTATGGGTTCGCTGATCGTCGGATTTTCGTCAGGCTACACTTCTCCTGCTTTGATTAGCATGAACAACACTCTGCATATGACTAAAGAAGAGGTAAGGTTCCTTTTATTAAAAAAAACCTAACTTAAACTAAGCACATGGAATCATTATTCAGTTTGTTAACGAATATTTTTGCAATTATCAAATTTTAGTCTAATGAAATTCTAATTTTTAATTTCATACTTACTGAAAAAAAGGTAACGCATTTTCCGCTTAATTAGAACAGAAAAAATATTTTTGATGGTTACTATAATGTTACTTTTCTTTCTATTACAGTCTACTTGGGTCGGTGGTCTTATGCCCCTGGCAGCGCTGGTGGGTGGCATAGCGGGAGGGCCTCTAATTGAATGCATTGGAAGACGATGGACCATAATGGGAATGGCTCTACCATTCTTCACCGGTTGGATTTTAATAGCATCGGCGACAAATGTAGTAATGGTGTTTGCTGGACGAGTCTTCTGTGGCGTATGCGTTGGAATAGTATCCCTGGCTTTCCCAGTATATCTTGGTGAAACACTACAGCCTGAAGTACGAGGTGCATTCGGATTGCTTCCCACAGCATTCGGTAACACTGGAATTCTTCTGGCATTCTTTGTGGGTAGCTACTTCGACTGGTCGAAACTTGCATACTTTGGAGCTGTGCTTCCTGTACCATTTTTCTTACTTATGCTGCTGACACCAGAAACTCCACGTTGGCTTGTGTCCAGAGGGCGATCCGAAGACGCACGTAAAGCCTTGCAGTGGCTCAGAGGCAAGAATACAAACGTTGAAAAAGAATTGGGTGATCTTACAATGACACAGGCAGATTCCGATAGGAAAGGTGGCAATGCACTTAAACAACTGTTTAATTATAAATACATGCCAGCCGTCCTTATATCTCTTGGATTGATGTTGTTTCAACAATTAAGTGGCATTAATGCAGTGATTTTCTATGCCGCATCAATCTTCAAAATGGCTGGCAGTAGTGTAGACGAAAATTTGGCAAGTATCATCATTGGAATAGTCAATTTTGTTTCAACATTTATAGCGTCTGCCATTATTGATCGCCTGGGTCGTAAAATGTTATTATATATTTCCTCAGTTGCTATGATTATTACACTTGTATCTCTGGGAGCATATTTCTACGTTAAGGATTCAGGAGTTGATGTCACCGCTTATGGTTGGTTACCACTTGCTTGTCTTGTTATATATGTCCTTGGTTTCTCTATTGGATTTGGACCTATTCCATGGCTAATGTTAGGCGAAATTTTGCCATCAAAGATCCGTGGCACAGCCGCTTCTTTGGCGACTGGATTTAACTGGACGTGTACTTTCATCGTTACTAAAACTTTCCACAATATTATTGATGCCATTAATATGTACGGTACCGTCTGGTTGTTTGCTGTTATCTGTTTAGTGGGATTGTTCTTTGTGATATTCTTTGTGCCTGAAACCCGAGGCAAGAGTTTGGAAGACATAGAAAGGAAATTAACCGGGGGGCCGCGACGAGTGCGGAACATTAACAGCAAGCAATCACAAAATTGCTAATTTTATATTTCGCCTAATGTCCGGGAATAATGTACATTCCAAATACTAAGTTATGAACTGTATTAGGAAGCAAATTTTAGAATATGTAATAAGGCAAAGCACTGAATCAGTGCGGGCTGAAGACTGAATGGGAATGTAGCCATAAGATATATTTTTATAGGTGTATATAGTAGAAAATTAGAATAGTTAAATGTCTTGAAACAGTTCCTTTAGTTATAAAATTGTAGTAGCATTCCGCTCTGCGACGGTGCTCGCTATTATTTTAGTTCCTAACGTGATATTGGATCTGTTTTAGAAGACTCACTCATATTTATAATTATTTTGTAATTAATTGTACATAGATGAACAATAGCTTATCCAATTGCTTTGTATACGTATTGAATTAACTACACAATTAAAAACGTGTATCCAGAATTGAAATGAGTTTCAATTCGCTCATAAGAAGCTAGATGTAGATCTGTAAACTATATTTAATGGTCATGACAAATCTGTTTTAAGTACTATAGTAACCAAATAATTATTTTAAGCATTAGCAAAATGTAGAGTCTGCCGTTAACTATGTATGAGACTCCGTATATTATGGAGTTAATATTTATTGTTGTTATTTTTAATACAAAATAATTTATAATTTACGCTTTTGTTTTATTTCTGACTCTTTAATAGGTTCATTGTGTTGTTTGATAATATCTAGGTAAACTTTTAACAAGGAACCCAATTATTAGTATAGACAGTAGTCACTATACACATATTGATATAACAGCATGATACTGTCCTAAATGATAATATTCACGACTATATTATTAAAGACAAAAACAGTATTTATGTTATCAACATTAATTTAATAGAATACTTTAATCTAAAGGTTTATAGAGTGCACTAATCGCATCTGCAGTGGTTTTATTTCGGTTTTAAATTCATAGATGAAATGAAATAAAAATTACTTAGATCTTAGAGACTTATAATAAGCATATAGATTAACGAAGAATATTAATTCGTTTTATTAGATTTTACCACAGTATAAGATAAATAGGTTTGAGTCTATTACACTATTTCCAGATTGTATAATGTTGCTGAGGGGAAATCCTGAAAATCTTAATAATGTATATCCAAAACTGAGTTAAAAAAAGTAGATTTTAGTTACTAGTTTAATAACCTACACTAAGATGCAAAAGTAGTATTTAACGTATAATGACTACACGCCTCATAGAAAACTTGACAAGTGCCACTACAAAATATATTGCTAAATTAAAGAGGCAGGCGCATAATAATAATAATATACGGAGCCGCTTAAGACTTAACGGGTTGCCGGGGCTCCGGCTCGAAGTGCAGGAGAAGAAACGGGGTAGTTTTTAGTCAGTAAGAGTCTGACACTCCCTCTCGCCTCACCCGAGCGGGAGAAGTCATTGGATGATTTTCCGCCCTCAAAAAAAAAAATGTATAGAAAAGGCGCATAATAATATAATAATATATTCACCACTTATGTCATTTGTCTTCTATTCATTACGCTTTGGCTATGTGTAAGCAAACATATAAACTACAAAACCAGTACGTTACGGCTACGTGGCGACTACACGTCTTACCCGTGCGTCTTACAGCGTGACTACGACTTGGCTACGTAGTTTCATTGATCGGCTACGCGTCTGCTACACCGCTACGACGTCTCTACTACGAACCTGCTGCGTGACAGCTACGTGTGGACTACGCGTCTTTCACAGTGTGACTACGAATTGGCTATAGCTTCATTTATCGGCTACGCCTCTGCTACACCTCTACGATGCCTCTACTACGAACCTGCTACATTACTGGCGACCACGCATCTTCCACAGCATGACTACCCATTGGCTACATTGTTTCATTAATCGGCTACGCGTCTGCTACACCTCTACGACGGCTCTACTACGAATATGCTACGTGACGGCTACGTGTTGACTACGCGTCTATTACAACGTGACTACGACTTGGCTACATAGTTCCATTAATGTCTACGCGTCTGCTGGGCGGCTACTACACGCTTACCATGCATCGACTACTAGACTGCTACGTGCCTTCCAAATCGTTACTACGAGATTGCTTCGTGTTGACTACATCACTTTTACATGTTTTTGCCATGGGGCAGAGCCACGCACACCTCCGCGTATTACGTAACGATTGTCTTGTCATGGTTTTTTTACATATTAGCTACACTACACGTGTTGTAGAATTCTACTAAGTACGAATTTCAGAATGAAACCTGAGCTTACATAAACAAAACCAAACAATTAAACTCTTTATCAATTACACAAAAGTGTGAAGGCATGTGGAACGAATGTTCGACTTTTAGGGCGTAGTTCGTAAACTGTACACTTTCAAACATTATGTTGCGTCCATCTTCACCTTCAATCCCCATTTGATTTGAATTGAAGCACTTGTCAAAATAAACGCTAATAAGCATGAGTCAATATGGCATTACACGGGGACAGATTCTTATAAAAACAAAAAATGCGAAGGTTAGAAATTGTTTCGTGAGAAGTAAGACTTATGTGGGCCACTAGGGACTCCATCAAAACTATACAGAGCTGAAGGTCATATTTATTGACCGATTGTAAAGGAATATGCAAAACATTAATATATTTTTGTTTACAGTAGGCTATGTGCATTGCCCTTTTATAGCTTTCCATACAGACGTCGACATGTCAACATGTGGAACACATGCTAGACGATTAGGTCAATAAAAACTGTTTATCATAACTTACGATCGTACATAATGTCCGTAAACAAAATATTAAAAGAAACTCTCTATCTTCTATTTACTTCAAATAAATGATGCAAATTAAAAAATATGGATGCAAAATATCGCCTAAATACGATACATAGTTTTTGTTTTCGTAATACTTCTCTGGTATGTGTAGTGAGTTGTAATTTCTTTTTAATTTCATAGAACAATAATGATTAAACAACCGTGTCTTATACATAGATTGGAATCACGTGTTCATTATTATTTTAAGATTTTATTGCAGTTGCATAATCTTTAAACATTTTAATTATTCTTTTTGTTTAACGATGAAGTAAATATGTACTTGATCGTCACTTCATCAATTAATGAATGCGCAATGATACATTCTTGTATTTTTTTTTTATTGTATTTATATATCTAGATCTAGGTCCAGATTTAAGACCAAAGCAGTAGTGATTAGTAATAGTTATTCAAAGCAATGTTTACTACAGTTTACTATTAAGAAATGTTCCTTGCAGAATCATGGACAGTTAATCAATGGTCAGTTATCAAAAAAATCCTAGGACTTGTTCTGATGTCTGTCAGTAGTCATCACGATTACGCGACTGGTCACGCGACTATGGCCCCATGATTATTACGTATAAGTAACGTGGCACCTCTACTAAAATAACTAATATGGGGCTTTTGTTTGGGTTTATACTTAGATAAACTATTCCATGAATACTAATGCAGATTTTTTGTAATACCCCTCCATTGTTGCATTAGCAATAATAATGAGGTAAATTGATATGGATACATGCCATGCAATATGCAAAAGCGTCCTATGAAGAAGGTAATAGGGGCTCACGATAACAATGGACTGAAAATATAGTTAAACAGTACTACAGGTGTAGATACCTACTAATTGACAAAGCTGCATTATGAGGAAAACGCAGATAACTGCAATAGACGAAATTAGAAAAACTATAACAGAATTGTATTGTATAAATAAGTATAAAAACGAGGTTTAAATACCGTCACCAATTAAATTACTGTGTGCGAATAGGTAAATAATTATAAAATAATCTAATGACTGTTTACTTCAAGAATGCAATATAATATCCTTATAAAAACTATAAAGTGTAAAATTAGAACCTTCTTAACGGTTTAATTTACTGCGGTGATACTTACCGACTATATATAATGATAACTGACTATTATATTGGTCTATTCTACTCCTTCTGTTTCATTCTTGTTAACTCTTTGAGTACTGTCATTATAGACACAATTAAAGAACAATAGATTGCGGTCACCGGTGACCACTTGGTGTTGGACAGTTAACTGACATAAAGTCAGTTGGGTTAACCGTAATTTAATTTAAATTGAAATAGGCTGTGAGTTCTATATGTATTAAGCGTTCTTTTTGATTTATTAGGTAAAGATTAAATGCCATGTTACTCGCAAATGTGGCTGCTAAATACGAGGTCCAGATTCTACAATATTGTAGTATTTATTACTACAAATGTCAAGTCCATAGAATAATTTAGAGTAACGCCCACACTTCACTCGCTTCACGACATCGTCCAATCAAATAATGTAAAGGTCCTTCATAGTTTCAGTAGCATGAAAACGAAACGTATTGTAAATGGTTGTAACGACACATCATAATAAATTAGTGTCTTGATACAAGGAAGTACTCAAAATATTTGAGAGCTATTGTCATCTGTATGATACTTTAAGGCTTGCTAATTTGAATCGTAGTAAAAAAGCTAATGGACGAATGAGATATTCAGCTGAAATATGTTTCGAGTATTTTTGATTTAATTTTAAATTATTTTCTACCCCAAGGCGCAAGCAGCTTTCAAATAAACCTGGTAAATCAACTTCTTATCTATTACATGTTACATAGCATGAAGTTATAGGTGTCAATCTGCTATTGATTAGTTCAAAATCCGAAAACCCAACATCAAAGCCCAACCCATCGAATCCAAGACTGCAGGCGCAGTAATAGCATTTGAGAATAGAAGAAAACGAGCATTTTTTTGAAATGAGATCATTTTAATGTCTAAGTACACGATCATCTATGCACCACACCCTTTACAATCCTGCAGACAAAAGTTATGTCAAAGACATAGATTATGGTTACGGCCATAATACCTATTTACGACGCATTTTTCTATCATGTACTGAACACTGTTTTGAATCGCACAGCCTCCAGCCAATCAGTTTTGTGAATCAATTTGTGCCCATATAAATCGCAGCGAGTGTAGCGACTCAAACTCATTTCTACAGTAACTTATGACGAGAACACATAGTGCTGTGGTGTCTAATTATTACAAGTGTCCAGTGATATTCTATGACCAGTTCAACTCACTACCACAATCATGAAGATTTTAATGAGAGCGGATACCCATTACAGCATACAGTACACCAGTGAATATGAAAAACCGAAATACACTTTCTCACAGGTAGGCAGAGATATTGGGTATTATTTTCAGACAACTGCGACTTGATACGATTATCAAGGTAAATTATTATGGATTTTCGAAATCTGGTTTTTTTAAGATTTTATGTAAAATACAAGCCTCATTATTTTCTTCTATAAACACATGTCAGGTTGCGATACCAGGTTAATGTGTAATAATTAATTTAAAATACAAGGAAATACGTATGTCAGTGTCTTGTATGGTAGTTGTTAATTCAGCGAACTAAAATACGAGGCGACCAATTGTGTCTTGTTAATTAATCTGTGGCTACTTGGTTAACATTCAAGTCAGTTTAGTTCTCTTCTAACTCTTAGAAATGCGGTTACTATGTGTTGCAAATCAGTGAAATTAAAATTCAATCATAATGTCCGATAGTTTAAAGAACTACTCACTTTAAAAAAGAATTTCTCGCATTTATTTCGTTCAAAGCGTGAATCGTGATTTTTACGGCACGTTACGTTATCAACTTGCTTTAATTTTACTATAATAACAAATATAATCAACGAAGCCTATGGTACTTAGGCCATGACTAAAACTTCGCAATAAGTATTTTTTCAGTTACAATTCAGAAACAAATCTATGACAACCATTAAGTTTAAAATTATTTATAATCCCTTCATAATTGTGTGAAAGTTAATCTTTTGTATATTATAATTAAATAGTCACATGTCCATGTAGTGTCTCCTATCCTATGGCAACTTCAAAACGCAGTTTGTTAACTTTGGAATAAAGGAAAATAATTTATAGATCGAGGACGTACAGAAATATGTAGAATCTACTAAGTAGAACCTTTAGTATAAGGCTATAGTATAAAGTACATGAGATCTGTACGTATTGTTAAAATCAAAACAAATTAGATTACATACATAGTCCGTCAATTAAAAGGTTAAAATCTGCTACGAAAGATTTCGTATGCAAAATTAGATTCATGCATTCACATTGATTACTAATGATATTTTAACATTAGAGATACCTATCGATGGAAAATGCGTTGAATGCAGCGTGAAAAATATGTCAAGCAAAACTATATTGCGTATATTTTACGTTACGCACATAAAATTTATGTTAATAATAACTAGCTGTGTCCTTTACTAATTAGCATAATAAAATACCTATATGGCACTAAAAGTCACTCAACATGACTATGAATTTCAATTATTGTTATTTCAGTTTCAATAGTGACCTCTCAAATACGGTGTTTTTTTCCTCCAAAGTAGAGGCAGATAATTATGAGTACGTTCACTCTTCACCTGTCATATCAACCTACATGCTATGGAATAGATAGCTCAAGTTTATAGCAATCAGTAAACACTGTATAACACGTTTAAGTATCAAAATCACAACATCGCGAATAGTAGCCGCTCTTACTAGGTACTCCGTGACTTTAAAAATCTATGTTTACAAATTATTTGTCCATATATCATAAGCCTACAAGGGTAATATATTTATATGTAATTATGTAATGTAAAAAACATTCCCGATCGCAAAAGCAATCTTATTACAATGCCCATTTATTTACAGTGACGATGTGTAAGTGGACCCAATCAGAGTCAATGATTGCTTAAATTAATAGAAGGCGGTTTGCGTCGCATCGCACACGCCTCCCTGCAAATAACGTCATGCCTGTAATGAACCGAAAATATTGCGAACTTGTTACTGCTTGCGTGTTAACAATTGCCTACATCATTGTTGATACTTTACATAAGAGTTCATAGGATAGACACGTGGCTCCTTTTTCTAGACAGAACACTGTTTGTGTATTTAATTATAATATATTATAGGCGCCTTATAAACATACTTCTTAGACCGCGAACCAAGGATTTTAACCCTGAAACTAAATAAGAAAAATAATGACAACATCATGATTATTATATGCCGCAATATAATAACTTATATTGTTCATAAATCGGTTTTTTTTCCATTTCCAGGTCCTTGCTGCTGTGGCAGTCTCGATGGGCTCTATGATCATCGGTTTCTCTTCCGCGTACACATCTCCAGCCCTTGTGACCATGATGAACAGCACTGTCATTTCAGTCACGGAGGAGGAAGTAATAAACTAGTTGATATTTATAAACTATCTGTTTGTACTTTAATTGACGTCCTTAATTAAGATACATTTTTTGTTAACAGGCTAGTTGGATTGGAAGTTTGATGCCGTTAGCAGCACTCGCGGGTGGCGTAATTGGCGGTCCGCTGGTAGACTACATCGGTCGGCGACGAACCATTTTGTTTATCGCACCCCCATTCTTCCTCGGTTGGATCCTCATAGCTACTGCAAGGATTATACACTTGGTGCTCACAGGACGTGTTATTTGCGGTTTGTGCGTCGGTATCGGATCACTCGCATTCCCTGTATACCTAGGTGAAACCATCCAACCTGAAGTACGTGGTACGCTTGGCTTGTTTCCCACCGCTATTGGAAACATTGGTATATTAATTTGCTACGCAGCTGGAAAATATCTAAACTGGTATGAACTTGCATATCTAGGAGCAGCCTTGCCTGTACCGTTTTTCATATTAATGCTAATGATCCCAGAAACGCCTCGTTGGTATATATCTCGCGGACGTAATGAGGAAGCCCGAAAGGCACTACAATGGCTTCGAGGCAAGAATGCCAAAATTGACAATGAGATTCGTGACATAGCCCTTGCGGACGCAGAAATGGGTAAAGAGGGTATAAAACTCAGGGAACTTTTCAGTATTAAATATATGAGGTCGATCTTAATTTGCTTAGGATTAATGACATTCCAGCAATTGTCAGGAATAAATGCTGTAATATTCTATACGGTAAATATATTCAAAATGTCAGGAAGTTCGGTAGACGGTAATTTGGCTACCATTATTGTAGGAATAGTTAACTTTGTGTCAACGTTTATTGCCACCGCACTTATAGATCGTGCGGGACGCAAAGTGCTGCTTTACATATCTTCTGTGACGATGACTATAACGTTGGTAGTTCTCGGAACATTCTTCTACGTACAAACTGACATGAAAATAGATGTATCTACACTAGGGTGGATACCGTTGACTTGTATTATGGTTTACTTGTTGGGTTTCTCTCTAGCCTTTGGTCCAATTCCATGGTTAATGATGGGTGAGATATTGCCGGCAAAAATAAGAGGAGGCGCTGCTTCAATTTGTACTGCATTTAACTGGCTATGTACGTTTACGGTAACTAAAACGTTCCACAATATTTTGGTCGGCATAGGACCGGCCGGAACGTTTTGGTTGTTCGGATGTATTTGTTTTGTGGGACTTTTCTTCGTTGTCGTGTTTGTTCCCGAAACACGAGGAAAGAGTCTCGAACAGATTGAAAACAAACTATCTGGTAGAGGCAGCACGAGGACTCGAAGGATGAGTTCCATCGCGAACATTAAACCATTACCAAATGGATGTTAGTTAATGGGAAGACTAAACTTTGGTTGTGAATGTCGAGCTATCTAAACACAATTGGTTTTCAAAATTGTAAACATAACATATATTACTTAAATTGTTTGTTTTACTGAAACAACTTAAGTACAGGGCAAGCATATGCTACCTCATGTTTGGAGTTTTCTAAAAATGTATACTTAAATATATTATGATCTTAGTAAAAATACTTAAATGAATTATCCATTTCATTTAATTCTCTTTCATTAGTAACATTATTGTTATGTAACCAATCAGATTGTAAGCAACCTACTTAATGTAAATATTTTCGTTTTTAATTTATTTCTTTATTAATGTAAGCATTCTGTTCTACCAAAAACTGTTACTTTAAGTATTAGATTATGTTTTTAATTAAGCTAAATACATTTATTTTCTAGTAAAAATGTTTTATTTATGCCTTTATAAATAACTGGTTGTTTTTTTATCATTATCATATTATTTTAAAAGAAGTCTTTTGTTTTATCACTTTAATGTTAAGTTGGTAAATTAATTTAAAGTATATTATTATTTTCTACTGTCTCATAACATCATAATGGCAATTGACATGTTAATAACATTCACGTAACCACACGTCACTGTATCGAGTATTACTTAAGTCGGGGTAACACATACTTGATTTTACAATATCTCGACAAAATACTGTAAAACATACTAAGAATATTATCAATTTCTCTTAATTCTCTTTCTGAATAGAAAACGGCTTACATCATACCCCTACCCATAATAACATAATAGTATCAATGGTTGTTACCATGGCAATAGATTACCAAAATTACACACAACATATTTTTTTTGCTGTTTATTATTGGTCAATTAACCCCAATTACAGTACTGATCACTCCCACTGGGCCTCAATGGATCCACACCTCCATTTATATTACTTCAAGTCAGAATGAGGAAGTCAAATAAAATTGGCACAAACATCTTCATTGTGCCTATTGATTGATCCATGTCATTTAGTGTTTTCAAGGACTGACACAGCATCGAACACTTGTCGTATTTTATGCTAACAAGTGATGTAACAACTAATCTAGCGTGTTACATGTAACTTATGACAAAACATTTTCATATTTAGCATTTTGTCTTTTATTAAAAATTTAATAATTTCTACTACATGTGAACAAGTCATCTTATTGTTAAAAAATAGTCAAATCTGTGAAAATAATATACATATTAAGACTACAGTGTAAACAGATATAACAATGTAACTAGTAGTACAAAACATCAGTAAACTTATTTGTTAGACAGTACAAATAAGGAAAATAATCTTCATAATATTATTATCATGTGGATATTTTGTCAAATTGCTGATACACATACATACATAAAGCAGATACATACATACAGCATTATTAAATACAATAAAAATCACTGTAAATTATCGCATTATCTAGCTGTTGAATTGAAATAAACGTAAGAAATACACAGTAATGTCATCTCGGTAATAACTAGGCTTGTAAACATGTAGGTAGACAAAGATTTTGGTTACAGAAACTTGTTCAAACACAATGCAAAGATAGTTTAGGAAACTTTATATAATTATGGTTAATTATTGCATAAACTTTTGCCAACTTACCCATAACTTGGACGCGGCAAATAGCACAGGTATCACACTCCACATCCCAGCTCCACATGGCTACAGCGTTCCACTTTTTCAAAGTAAACATTTTATCTGGCTTCTGTCCGTCGTTATCTCCTCGATCAAAAGCATCACAGTCTTCTCCAGACATTTTAAAAAGTGGGATATTTTATTAAAATATTGCCAAAATACCCCCAATTCACTTTGTTTTTATTTACTTCAACTTGTGACGTTTACGTCTAGTCTATTTACGAAGCTCGCTTTGGAATCAAACTTGAATGAGTTGTCATTTTTTCAATGTTCTAAACATAAGTGTTACCCAGTATAAAAATGTGATTTGTATGAATTTAACTAAGTTTTTGTTTGTGCACATCTTAAATTTGTTTTCAAATAAGTACAATAAATTATTTCAATATTATTTAGGATTTTACTTTGTAAACGCTCTCTATAACGTCATTCGCCTGCGTTCCATTTCTCGAACGAACTTCAACGATCACATCATTACAAAATTTGGAAATAAATATCCACTTTTAAAACGAATAAAATATTCACGAATTTGTGAATTTCTGCACACCACTAAAACTCTTTTATCTGTTCAATCCCCAAGCGGTGATCGGTGACCGCTCTCCATTAACTTCACCTTAGACCTTATTTCCGATGTTTAGAGACTGAACAAATTTTAGGTGCGATATCAACGTGAATTTTATTTTTTTAATATTTCTTTCCCTTAATTTTTCGGTTCCTTGTTTCAAAAATGTGACCTTAACATCCTTATATCCTTAAGATATTTATTGATTAGTTTTAGTTAAGATAACTGAAACTCTTAAGGCCAATGCTTTATTATGACAAAAATAATTATATCCAAAAATCACTATTCTACACAGATGACGAAGCAGAAGCAGAAGGGCAAAGTCTACTTGAAAATAAAACTATTTTTGTTATATCACTATTTATTTATTGGTAAAAAACGAAAACAAAATACAACACTTTATTTGTAATTCCTAATATAAGTAAAACCTATCACTAAATGCGTCTAACATTATAATGACGTATATTTAATTAATATATTAAATTCTCAATTATATAGGTAAATGTGTACAAAAAGTATTTTATACATTAAATTGTACAAATAAATAAAATTGAAGCAGATACTCATATAAATATTAATTTTTATCACGTTCAGGTAGGTGAACTTTGTTCGAAGGATTTTAATAACATCAGTTAAATCAATAAAAAAAATATTCAAAAGCATGGTCTAAAAATAAAAGTTATATTTGTACCCTGTGTATTTATATTAATAACTTGAAGCTAAAATAAATGTAAATATACAAAATACATAAATACATTTTTATTTTGGACTGTAATCTTAACTAGGTACTAACACTAGGTATATTTATTATTTATAATTAAAAAATAAAGAATAATTAAACCTAATAAATACATTATTCATTTACGAATTCTGGGTATGAAATGCATGTTACTGTCTGTTGTCATTTTAATTTGTTACCTATAGATTTCTAACTAGAAAAAAAATATTAAAAATAATCGGTAGGTTTAATTTTAATGTTCACAACTAATTATGAACTGTATAGTGTTAGATATAAGGCAGAGAGTAGGATAAGGAAACTGGCTGTGATGCTGCTAGCTCCGTTGAAACATCCTAGCTCGTCTACTTGTATTGAATACCTGATGTTGTATGGGAATCTGCAGTTCGGATCTGGAAAAATAAAGTTATGGAAGCATTAAAAAACTAACGCGTACATTGTCTAAAAGTAAAAGTAGTTCACTGATTTTCAAATCAGTAGGTAGGTACTCTGCCCTATACATATAGGCTACATAGTTCTTTATAACAATGATACATGGCTAAATTATTTTGGAAACTCGTCTCAAAGTATTCTTACATATTATGTCTTAATAGCAACATATCACATTATCAGACCTCGTTCCAAATTCTAAGAGGGTATTAATCCAAACGTTATTTCAATAATGGCTGCCAAATTGGTTTTCAATAATGCAGCCACATATTGCCGAAAAAGATTGCCCGTTCAGACTCATCAGCATAGTTGTATTATTTATGTATCAAAGTTGTTAATATTACCTGTGCACGCGGCAGACGCTGACGAGAGCCCTCCTGCGGTGAGACCAGTATCAGACTCCACTGACATATAGAACGGAGGACAAGAGTTTGTGTTGTCCCATCCATCGCAAAGATACTGCAAGCCGATCTCCACGTTGCCAGAATTCAAAGTTTGACATGTTATCGGGTTATTTTCACTGCCTTCAATGAGAACTGTAGAGTTATCACGTCTAAAAAGAAAGATTATCACGAATTAATTACATGTTTATATTGCATTTACCTAAGGGTGCGGGTTCGAAACCTACCAACGGCAAGTACCAATGTGACTTTTTCCGAGTTATATGTATGTATTTTCTAATATTATTTAGATACCACTGACAAACGGTGAAGGAAAACATCGTGAGGAAACCTGGACTTATAATTTCTAATTTGAGTTTGAAATCGCCAACCCGCAATGATGAAGCGTGGTGATTAACTCGTCGAGTACCGTATTTATAGACACAATTAAAGAACAATAGGTTGCGGTCACCGGTGACCGCTTGGTGTTTGACAGTTTAATACTCAAACCTTCTCCGTGTGAGAAGAGGCTTTGCTCAGCAGTGGGCATTTATAGGCTGTTGATGATGATTGCGTTATCTTTTTTCGGGACACGGTCAAAGGAGCAGACGGATCAGTTGATGGTTAGCAATCAACGCTGCCCATGGACATCTGCAACACCTAAGAAGCTACAAGTCCGTTGCAAGTGTTTGGAACTTTCTAATCGTTTTCTGATCAAATATAGTTTAGTTTAATTAAATAAAGTGCTATACAAAATTATTCATTAAAACCTTAATATACATATACCTAATTTACAATTTTGTGGCCATGAAGTTATATCATTATGCTATGAGCTTATGGCACCGACTTCTAACCTCAGTAGGTGGGTAACCTATCAGTTCTTATGATACCTAGTTATATTTTTTTCTTTTTAGTTTTGACTTTTTAGTTTTTTGTAGTCGGTTTTTAAACGCAGTTTTTATTTTTTGTGAACAGTTTAACTAGGGTAATGCATCAATTTCCGCTGCTAACATCCGTAAGTTTAATCACAAAACGAGTAGCCTTTCTAAGCATCTTTTCTTTGTTTCTCGAAAATGTATGACTATTCATGATTAAACTATAACATAAAAACATTTCTTGGAAGTAGATAATACCGAATCCGGTAATCATAAATGTGTGTTAGCTTATCAAGAGTAGGTATCGTTATCATTCGATAAACCTCGTTACACTAGGACTCTTGATCGAGTTGCTCGCAAGCGTGACTGCCTTGCTATGCCAAGTGGTTTCAAGTTCGGTTCTTGGGTCAGCCAAAGTAGGTACTTAATAATTATTGACTCATACGGTTTTCCTATCCTAGTGTAAATCTCAATGTATTTTAAACAAAAACAAATCGTTAACTGACGAAAAGTAAAAGTATTTTTGTTATTATAGGTAAGCGTTTCATCTAAAACGCATCATTGCCTTTTCTTTCGTGGAATAAAAGACGTGATGTTAGTTTACCTGGGCTGTTCGGAACTTCGAGAGTGACAGACAACAAGACCTCCAATTCCACTACTGGTGCGACTGACCCTGATCCTTCTGTTGTCATTGTTACCGAAGAAGTAGTTAGGACTTATTCTGTAGTAGTTTACGTAACCAGGCTCAACGTAGTCGTCGAATGTTCTAGCACCAGATGATCCTCCGTTAAATAAGAAACCGCACGTAGGGTTTATGATTCTTCTGCCAACTGTTGGACAAACAAAATCATTACAATTTTATAGATGTTGAAATTAAATAACGACTAATAAATCAGAACGTAAAAATTAAAAAGTATCTGAATTGGGTATTTTTAACCTATTTAAAACGCTAGGTCACGTATGCTCTTATGCAATAGTTACCTATATAAAAAGTGACTTACCGGATTGAATTCGCTGTAATATGGGAGCCATAGCAGTGTCCACACCAGTTCCCACAGAGTTGAGGGAGACCGTGAAAATGTCTCTGTACATATCGCGCACGAATGGCCATAAGGCATCGAACTGATTGGTGGTGGTCGCGTAGAGCACTCTAAGATCTGAAATAGATTTTTAGCATTCATTAGAACAAATTGTAATGTCGTAGAGGAGGATTAACTGCCATCAGCTTTCTAGGGATTTGACTGCAGACGGAAAACTATAAAAAGACAAATCCTTCACGAATGTTTCGTCAAACCTGGGTCTTTATATTTTAAATGTTTAACTTACCAGGAATGGTGTTATTTATCTCATTAGCCTGTTCCCATACACGGTCAGTAACCGGCAAGTTGCCATTAATCAAATACAGTAGCACTGAAGAGTTTCCACCGACGTAGTTCCTCAAAGACTCGTTAGCAAGCGATTGTTGCATCATCAGCTTAATGTTTGTCAAACTCGTTTCAAAATTCACTCCAGCCGTCACTACGGACAAAAATATAAATAAATTGGACGTTATGTGACAAAAAATATTTTTGTCAATTTATTGTTGAGAGAAGGTTCTTACTTGCTGCGTGTGTCGTAGAATTGTATTCGGCATAGAAATCAGCAGGAGAGTAGGTGGTGTTGACTACGATACTTCCATCAAAAGCGCTCAAAAGAGTGATACTGGATCCAAATTTGCCAACTTCGATAGAATCTACCAAGTAAGCGATGGCAGGCATCACAGTGGTGTACTGCCAGGAGGAGTCCAACACAATGTACAAATTGGTCTTGAGGCGGAAGTTGTTGCTCTGTGATAGTGATGCGGCGCAGTTCAAGTCGTTCAAAACATCATCTGGAATGAAGATTTAATAGAACATTAGGTATGCATGTTATTTAGACTGGACCAGTTTCTCTTTAGTAAATAACACCTAAATTAAAGAAGCATTTTACATCATTTGAATAGATACATTATAATTTGGTAGTCTGTTCCTTTGTTCTAATAGGGTTTCAAGTTGGTGTTAAGTTAAATAAGACCGTATTCAAATTCAAGTTGGTGTTCGAGTAGTTAGTTAGTTTTCGACTATCAACTCATAGTTCTACATATAAAAATAGTGTTAAACTAGATCTCTCCGTATTGCGAATATTGCGATACTCACTAGTGTAGGATCGCAGGTTGGTGACAGCGCTGGTAATGAGCTGGTCGAGTCCTCCAATAATAGTACCACGTAGGGGCATGTTAGTATCCAAGGCCGCGGCGAAAGCATTTGTTTCAGAGATCAATTGCTCATTGGTTACAAATCTGTTTAGAGATTCACGGCGGTTGCAAGCTCGCAGGTTGGGGTCCAAAGCACCATTCTGTAATTTGAATGAACACAGTTATATGGTAAAATAAGTGTGCTGTGTGAAAAACTACTAACTTTATTAAAGGACTAATCATATCTGTACGTGACCTACTCCCTGTACCAGTTACGGATCACATGTTAAATAGGTTTATCAGCTGTACAATCCTAGACTCGATATTACTTCAAAAGATTATTATTATGAAGGATCAAGATAACCCAATAATCAAACATCAGAAAAACGAGGTTAAAAATAAGTCTTACCCTAGGTGAATAGTACATATCCAAGAGCTGTGAGAGCTTCATATTGCTGGCAACTCCCAATTGGGCCACAACATTACTACCAAGAACGAAGCCATCGATACCTCCTCGGATCTCAGGGTCTGTCATCTCAACGTTAATGCGGTTTTGCAACATGAAGTGTCTGCGAGCTTGAGTACTGTTCCAACCACCAGCGGTACCTATTACAATAGAGGTGCTGCCCCGCTCTGTGCCTTGAATGAGGACGGCTTCAGCCAGGTCACCTGAAAATTAACAAAACGTTATGAAATGATGAAAATTTGTAGTATGACTAACTATACGTACGATATTAAGGAAAGAAAAATATTAAAAAATTACAATGCACATTGACAATATGAACTAAAATTATATTTCAATAAACAGATGCTCACCAGATAATGTGGCTGGGAACAGGGAATTGACAGTTTGCTGAACATTCCTGTAGTTAAGATTAGCGTCCCTGACCAACTGCAGGATGTTGACAACTTGTGGTTGAGCTCCCGTTGCAATACCAGCGATCACGTTTCCTGCAGACACGGCACCCCAAGCTGTGTCCACCACACCGCCCAGCAAAGGACAAGTACTCTCAGCAACTTGTCGCTCAGACATGGATCCGACACCCATGTTACCGAACTCCACATCATTGTTAGGATCGTATTGTCTCATCTTTCCGTTCTTGTTAGCGGATAGTCTGAAAACAGGTAATTAACTTTAAACTTTACTCTCCCTTTATTTAAGTTTTGTTTGTGTAAAAGTGACAGTCGAATAATATAATACTTACAAGTCTGATGGTTTCATAATTTCGACATCGTCACTAATAGAGCGACCGGATCTCGCAGTTCTTAGAGCTCGGTATTGGGACAGTTGACTGCAGCTGCTTTCGTCTCCTCGTACCCTTGTGTCTACAGTTGTCGACAGCATGTGATGAAGAGTACACTGGAACGCATCATACAAAACTTTAAGAAATGAGATTACTAGTTTCACAGATCTTTCGATGGGTATATCCGCCTCATCCTCCCCTTGGTGGAGACTTACAAAATTATCCAATTTATAATTTTTACCTTCAAAACTGGAGGTAGTACGTCAGCACTTAAAGTAAGCCTATTTTCAGGGAGAAGCCTGGTTAATAGCAGCCTGTTGCGATGGAATGAGTGGAAAGTTGGAGCGAACGGCAGCACATTTGCAGAAGCGACCGAGTTCTCTGGTTGATGGTACTGGATACCGTCTTGACGAAATCTGGAACGAAAACCGTGAAAATTATGTTCGATGATTGGTACTTTATTAGGAGTTTGCTAAAAATAATTTATTAGAGAGTGTAAAAATGTGGGAATTTTGAACTCTAACAAAAAAGTCACATTCATAGAGTCGTCGACAATAAAAACTATCACCATAACGCCATGAAATAAACAGACTTACGAGTGAAGGAGTAGGGTTGTAATCTCTCTTAAATTCAATGTGGTGGTATTGTCTTCTATTTTGCGTATGATATCAATGAGGACTGGCATGGTGACTGGTGGCAAATTGTTTCTGTTCAAAAGATTTGGGTTGCTGTAACATTCGCTGAGTGAGCTCGCAACCCTCGTCTGTGCTGTCTCCTGGCCGCTCACGCAGCCTACCGCGGCTACCAAAAATATTGGTAACCAAATCATCTTGATATCTGAAATTAAAAAAGTACTTTCTAAATATCTTGTTACTTAATACTTACGTACATTTTTAAAATTAAGAAATACGATAAGTACAAATCATTTAAAAAAAATAACATCGAAAATCTCAAAAGCTCAGATCAAATTAGTACCTAATGAAAATATTTCCTTGTTACCTCTGAGCTGTTCTCAAACCCTGAACTATTAATAAAAATAAATTACAAGTTGTTACTTCAGTAAGTACTGGTACAGTGATTAATCCAACCTCCATTAATGCGGGTGTAACATTTGTATTGAAGGTATACATAGTGAATAACAAGATTAAGATAAAAAACGTCGATGACGATTCCGTTGAAGTATTTCACAACGTATTTTATCAGCGCACTGGGAGCGGTCGCGGAAATTAAAATCTATTTTCATTGTTAGCACTTCAGTTTTTAACATGAATCAGATGTAGAAACTATGTCCTATCTGTCACAATCAGTCTTTTGTGTTAAGAGTTCATGATTCATCGGAAATACTTCCGTTTCTACTTGACTTTTCACTCGCCTAGGACTGACTAGCATAGCATACTCGTAGGAATTACAAATAGGTATTTGAATTAGGTAGCTATTTTTGTTAGTCATTTTTGGTTACACATTTTACAGAACAATACCTATCTCACAATTTCTAGGGGAAAGAAAAATTCTGTAACCAGACTATAGCTATAACTTTGCAAGCACCGCCAATACATTACAACTTTAAATAAAACATTAAAACAATCTCTTATGTTCAACTCCTGGTACCTAAAAAATGCATATATCATACAATCCTTGACTTATTACTAGCTACTAATTACTAAACAAATAGTGAAAAGTGAGTGTTACATTGTACAGTGGCATTAAATGCCGTGTTGTGCACCTCTGCCTACCCGTTCGGAGATAAAAAGACGTTATTTTTTAATTACTACTTACACCATCTAAAAGGTTCACTTTAATAAGTCAGTGCCGTAACCCTGATAAGCACCCACTGACTTCCAACAAGAAATCACTCCAGCTAGTGCCAGATACTTAGGGTAATTGCCCTCACCACGTGCCAATTGAAAAGAGTGGGGCTCTGTCAAAGTTGTAGGTTTAATTCTATATCTAATAAAGTTATCCTAGCTTCCTTTATCCAGGGACGCTTTCCAAACCAGAACCTATTGACTATTTAACCGACTTCAAAGTAAAAGAGATTCTCAGTTTGACCTGTACGTAAATTTGTATGTATGTATGTATGTATGTCGTAAGTTTGTATGTATGTATGAACATATGTATATACTTACAATACAATACTTTTGTTTTCCCTCGGGAATATCAAATTTTTCCGGGATAAAAAGTACCCTATTATGTATTTAATCCAGACTTCTAACTTTACGTCTGCAAAAATTGCAAAAAATGCAATCGGTTTAGAAGTTACGACGTGAAATCGGAACAAACAAACAAACAAACAAACTCACTTTCCGGTTTATAATATTAGTAAGGATGTATGTATGCATGTATGTATGTATGTTTGTTTGTGTGCTATTATCTCACGATTGGCTAAACCGATTTTATTGCAGTATCCAGACACGTAGGAGACTTTGTTAGAGTTTGTTACACTTAAGAGAAGGTTTTAGTATATTAATTAACCGACTTCCGAAAAAGACTACTTCAACACAAGTCGGTTTATTTAAGCATAGTTTATAAAGAATTATTTTAGGATATACCCACTTTCAGTCGGGTTGGGAATAAGGTATAGTCGATTTTGGTGACATGCTCATTCGAGATGGATATTGACATCCTGTTATTAAACTTTACTACTTGGAGCTTATACCCTGGAGAAGTATAATCATTTATTCAAAACCAATTACCAACGGGGTAAATCAACTGAATAGTTATGGCACTATCAGTATTACTGCTTCATTCATACAAAACGGACGACCTCGACCTACCACATGGAAATGAGAGGTGCCCCATGGTGCCTATATAATTTAGAAAAACAATGCACCTAAAACCGCTTGTTTATTATTGCTTGCTAATTTTTTTGAGTATTAAAGCGATAGCACCCCTAAAGGGGCTTAGGAAAATAAATAGCATTGTGATTTTACGATAACGTTTTTCTGTATCTACGTATTTATTATTGGGTGGAATGAATGTATGATTTTATTTTACATACAACGTAATATTGTTCATGAGTGCCTTTAGCTTAAGGTTATTCTTATCAGAAAATGCAATCAAAATTAGAAGGTTGCCCAATTGTACCTAGGTATTTGTTTGTTCGCTCTACTTTTGATAACGGCAGCTATATTATGTGGACACTGATAGGGCGCATTTTCATGAATCACGTATGAATTATTTCTGAAGTACTTTGGTTAACGATAAACTTTGTTAGTAGGTACCTTGGTTGGTACTGAACCGGTTACTGAGAACTACTTAACAGGGATTCCGGTAATTCTGAAATTAATTTGAATATTCTTTTTACATGATTATGTAGGTACCTATCTACATTAATTCTCTTATCAAATCGAAGTAGATGTCATAATGTGATCAACTGCTTTATAAGTACTTTGGTGTTTATCAAAGGACACATTTAAAAGACCTTTGTAGTACCTTACGTCTGATTTTGAGTAACATGACAAAGTATTTTGTTCGAACTGGACATTGTTATTACAATAGAGTATTATATCAGATACATAACGTACGTCATACCACCACGTGCCATATAACAAAGAACTACCATTTCAATTAAATAGACACCGAAACAACAGTTAACGAAACGGTTTCAAAATTCCCAATTCCCATCAACAAGAAATACACACATTTTGGGACTTTGATATTAAAGGTAATGAAGAAGTAGGTACCTATCTATATCATAATGTTATAATTTTCATACAGCACATAATCAGTTGCAATTTGATATTTAATCTGTTGGTAGGTGAGATAATGGCCAAATTACTTAGTGAGTGTTCACGTCGAACGAATCACTGAAACAAACTACACAGACGGGAAATGATCAAAATTTTTAACTAATTGTCACGTTTTCATTCTCACTATGATCGACTAATAAAATGCGATAACATTTTCCTTCACGATAATCTCGTCCTATTTATACTAAACCTTCAAAAACCTCGAATTCGTTATAGAACAAAGATAAGAACTCACATTCGAGTAAAATCACCGCGTGAGCCTCTCAAATCCTTCTATGAACTCAACACAATATGTAACAGTTTATAAAAATATCACATGTCCAAATAGACACCACTAGGAGACTTTTGACAAACTAGTTAATTAATTAATTTCACTATATCACGGCACACAAACCTTGCCTAGTTAAGGCGCGCCCAACACTAGCAACTTGTAAAATAAAGGGTGCCAGGTACCTGATAAGATAATGAAAACAGGTCTAGATAAATTCGTAACAAATGATAGCCATACGATGCTGATATCAGTTTTCGCTAGCGATTACAAAGATAACACCTGATTATAGACGGGACTTGCACCAGAGTAAAAAATAAAAATTTACACAATTCAATACATACTTATCCAGAATGCCAGTATTATTGTAAAATTAAACAAATACACAATTTCATATTTTTATTTTACAAACTTGTGTACAAAATGATCAAAAAATGGTTAACAGTAACAAAAACTATCGACGAGGATGGGATTCGAACCCACGCGTGCAGAGCACATTGGATTAGCAGTCCAACGCCTTAACCACTCGGCCACCTCGTCATATGACAGAGATAGCAAATTTTGCGATCACTATAATTAGTATTTTGTTTTTATTTTCATTATAATTTTATTATATAGTTAACAACATTCTAAGTTAAAATTAACAAATACATCAAAATAAAGGCAAGGTATTCAAGTATTACTCTGAAATCAAATTAAAGCGTAGTATGCTAGTCTTGTTTACAGCGACATCTATGTTTAAGACTGCCCACTATTTTGTTTAAGGTTGTCGGAATAGAAAGTGTAGATTTCGAACTCTTTAAATATTATTTATCAGACAATAGTGCTAACAAGTGAAAAAAATGTATAACACGTTTTTTTACATAACGGAGGTTCTTTTCTTTTATTTTATTTTAGAACATGAGTTACATACGACATCTGTTGAATTCTTTATCAAACCACGATTTTTTTTAATCACATGACGGCCGCAAGATGGCGTTAGTACGAATATGTTTAGGTTTTATCACCACTATTGAAACAGCTTTACTAACTTGAATAACGATTCCTTTCAAATGTAATGATATATTATGTCATTAATATATTTATAATCGCAGTTACAGGAATATGGTGTTATCCTTCTAACAGAAAATAAAACAACCAACGACAACACAAACAACAGTCTGTTTATTTCTTTGCAACCTATGTCTGTTTATTTCTAGGAATGACAACTATCTAAAAATGGCTTAAGAATTGAATTACATGATCTACAGATATTTATACAGTAATAAGGTACACACGTACTGGAATGTATGTAGCATTTGCAATAAAACAACTATTGACCTTTATATCTGAAAAAATATCGTACAAAAACGTACCTACAAAATACATCTTGCTAACAAAGTACAATTTATCGAGCAAAAAATTTAGCAACATGTTAGCACAGGGGAATATATTGGGATATGCGACCTCAGGGTCAACCGGAGACCGGAGACTCGGATAGGGACGCGTCGCTAGGCAACCGCAGACCTGCCGGCTGTCGGCCTCCCTCCATTCATAAATGGCGCAGGCCCAAAATAACCACATAAACAATAATAGCTTCTAATTTACGTTAATATAAGTCGTTATAGCAGTTCTTGTTGACTGCGAGGATATCTTAAAATAAGTACCTGGGTGATATTTATCCTTTATTAGCAACTGATCGAAGTGGTATAAATAAGCGCAAACGTGGGTAAACACGTTTATTTTTAGCAGAGATTAAGGTATTGTAGGTACCTATTTATATTTAACTACGCGTATTAAGTAACTTCTTAGTAGATACATACCTACAGTTGG